GAGTGTAGACACGCTTTATTTTTAGATAGAAGGGCATGAGACTTTGCCTGAACCTTGGAACTCTTCCCCCCGACTCTAGGGCACGGTGCTCATCTCTGTTTCCAAGCCATAGAGCCAGCATTTGTCCATAAACAGTTTCCGTGGTCACATGGCCAGTAGGGCGCGGTGCTCATCTCTGTTTCCAAGCCATAGAGCCAGCATTTGTCCATAAACAGTTTCCGTGGTCACATGGCCAGTGCAACTTAGACACGGAATGCCGTTACCTTCCCACCATGGTGGTACCTATTTATCTATTTGTATTTGCACGCTTTCGAACTGCTAGGTTGGCAGGAGCTGGGACAAACGACAGGAGCTCACTCCATCGCTTGGAATCGATCTTACGACTGCTGGTCTTCTGACCTTGCAGCACAGAGGCTTCTGTGGTTTAACCCACAGTGCCACCACATCCCATTATTAATATTCTAGGTAGCCATTAAATAGGGAGAAATATCATGTTGTTCCCCTTGCAAAGCAAGTCCCTGGGAGAGAAGAAAAGGAAGACCATTTTTTGATTGTTCAGGCATGACCTGGATCTGGTTCAGTTCAGTTTATTAAAATGTCACAAAAGCCACATTGGGTCAGAACAACGTCCTGCCTGTCTATTGTGGTTATTCTCTTCTCACAGTGACTGACCATATGTCTATGGAAATCTCACAAGCAGAATACGAAGGCAGCCACATCTTTCATCTACATTCCCCACTAACCTAGTATTTAAAGCCATGCTTTCTCTGATGTTGTAGTAATGTATGGTCCTCATTGGCCAGAATCCTGTTACTGATTTACACATGTATAATGGAAGTTGTGTAAGTTTTGGTGGAAATTTGCTGTTCATTTGTGAATAATTCTTTGTGTTCTTGGGCATTTGCCTGGTTGCATGATGAGGTGCACGCCCAGGATTGCAACCAGTACCTCATTAATGAGTGGCAGTTTGCCACTGGAATATAAGTTTCCTTTCTACAAGGATAAATTTTCAATAGAATTCTGATTGTGGATAGTCTTATCCTCAAAGAATCTGAGTAATCCACTTTTAAAGCAGCCTAGGGTGATGGCCCTTCATGATGTTTCACAGTAACTTAGTTTGAGCCCCGATAGTCCAGTTGGCTTTGGTTGGATTCCATTCTTGAGAGTCTACATGCATTGGAATAAACTCAAACTTGGACAAGGGGAAAAGATAACAATTCAACGTGAGAAGAGTTGATTATCCCAGTCTCCGTCAGCAGTCCTACCTCTCTTAATCAGCTGGTCACCTCCAGGTTTTATGCACTGGTAGGGCTCCAGTCTTTCAAGAGAATTCAGTTCTCTTCACTAAGCCTCCACCTTGGTCACCAAAGTCAGTTTGTCTATGGAGACCCTTTATGGTAGTCCCCTGAAATGAGGGGCAATATGCCCACATTGAAGACAGATAGGTACGGGCTTCGCCTCTGTCCCCTTAGGTTTCTGCTTCTTGAGGGTGCTGGCTGCGAGGTCTTCTTCTCCCTCCAGTGTCTGTTCAAAGAGACAACATACACCTTTCCTTCCTTTGCTCCCTCCTTCCTCTTCTCTCTCTCTCTCTCTCACTCATTAGAAGGATTGAGGGGTTAGCTTGGATTCATGCTTGGGAGCCGTCCCTTTGGACACTCAAAAGTGGACCCAGAACTCCCTCCAGGGATATTCCTTACAGATGAAATTCCATTCACCTGGCACCACTTCTTCAGGAGACTCTTCTACTAAGTAACTCACTTGGCGGCAAAGTTTCTTTTATACCCACCGCTCAGCAGGGGTAGACTACTTCCCACCAGTCCTTTTGGGGCTGTTTCTCAACTCTGATGGCCACAAATAGAGCTACTGCAGCTTGAGTCTGTGTCCCAGCTTCTCAGCATGGGTTGAACTGTGGGGCCATAATTCCTTGTAAACCCTTTGCAGCTACCAGTGAAGGTATAACCAGCAGGGCGGTGGCCTCAATTCCCTGTTTGAAGTGCAACAGAGATGTCTATGACCCTGACCTCCTCACACTTAGTTATGTCTTATATAAAGAACTATCTCTTGTCTATAATAAATCTCTGGCTATTCATTTTCAATGGCTGGCCCCACTTTTTCTAACGTAATACAAAAGGGAATACCTTATCCACATTCTCTTCACTATGCATTTTATATAAGAACGTTTTTGAGCTCCTCACCACCTTCCCTATACGTTGTGCAGTGGCAAGGGAGGGAATTGGAAGAGATTTGGGGATTGATATGTGTATATCTCTAAAGAGATATTTGTATATCTCTAAAGAGCTGTGAATGCTGGTATCCTCTAGAGGCCCATACCTTCCCTTTAGAGGTCTGTATCTACCACTGGAGTTGTTTTATTGTAGTGAGTTGAGGATCAACGAAAGCTAATGCTCAGTAGCGGTAATAGGATTTGAGTAAAGCATTTTCCTACAGTGTCCCAGAAGATGCATTCACCTAATTGACTTGTGCATAGGGGGCTATCACAGTTTGCAGACCAGATAAAAAACCATAAAGAGATTTCATACAGTAAACCCTTAATGTTACCTGTAGGACTGAAGGAAGCTCCATTGTAAATGTGGACTTTTTAACTGGAGGGTGAATGGTTGGGGAACTGTGTAGAAGATTAGAGAGCATTGGTGTGGAAATAAAAGCTTTAGTGGAGTGTATCTGCTGAACTTGTAGGCTTCCGTTTGTTGAAAAGATAGTCTACGCAGCAAGATAATTTCATTACAGAAATAGCACAGTTGCCACTGTGCTGTGCCTCCACCCCTCACCCTGCCAGGGATATGATATGAAAGGTGGAATAAACATAAGGCAGACAAAAAATCTGTTCAGTCAAACCCAAGTAAAGCTTAAAGGGGGGGTGTTGTGACTTGAATCGCAAAGCAGAATATTTTGTCTCTGAGTGTACAGGGCTTAGCTTTATCTAGGTTTTAACTACGTAGAGTTTGGAAAAGTTACTGTTTGGAAGTAAAACTCCCAGATTTCCCCAGTCAGCATCCCCTCCTGTTTCCTAGCAGCTGGTGCGCAGAGATGTTCTGACAGAGTCACCTGTGGGTTTGAAAGCCACAAGTGTTTATTCAATCAGTTGAAGGATCTGTCAGAAAGATGAAAAGTCTACAGTTGGTTATCCATAGTTCAAAGCGCCATCTTGGCAGCCAGCTCTACAGCTGTGGCACATGAATGGCTGTGCTGTGCACTGTTCAGTTCCAGATACATCTCCTAGAGCGGAGCTGGGAAGAATACTAAGGTGGTACACATGCCTGCTGCAAAATTGTTGTAACCTGTCTGGTCTACAGAAAGAACCATTCACTACCTCACTGTCACCCACCCTTCTTCTTGAGGGCAGGATGGCAGAGTCAATCCTGTTATAGGGAGCTCAGCCTTCTGTGGATGTGCAGATGTTGTGCCCGTCTTAAATTTGTGGCAAAAACAGAAGTTAAACTCGCCCTCTTGGACGTAACACTAAAACTTAGTACCTCAATCTGTATTGGTCCTGGGAGCTGGAAACAGCCTTTTAGTTAGTGCTGCAAGGCTAAGGAAAACTGGAATTTGGAAAAATTACCTTTTGGACTGTAACCCCCAGCATTGTCCAGCCAGCATGGCCTCTGCCATATGACCCATAAACCGCATGGCCATGTAATAAAATGAAATATTGGTGGGTTTGTAGCAGTCCCAAATTTTATAAACCATAAGCACCTTTGGTCAACTTTTATACATGACCGAGTACGTGAAAAGCCTTTTGATGACTCATGGGACCACTGGCCACGATTCTGGCCAGCTCCATGTGAGCACCTTTGGTCAACTTTTATACATGACCAAGTACCTGAAAAGCCTTTTGATGACGATTCTGGCCAGCTCCATGTGTAACATGGGACCACTGGCCACGATTCTGGCCAGCTCCATGTGTAATGTAAATACAGGAGTTTGCATATTATTAGGGCATGGATGAACATTGCAAGGATGTCTCTGGGTACTTCCAGAAAAGGCTTTTATTGTGCAATCTCCTAGGCTCATTCACACATTTTTACAAGAGTTATAACCTTGACCAGAATTTTTTTTTTTTTAAAAAGAGTATTGAAAAAGTTACATTTAAGAACATCTGGAATCTGGATCCAGCACGACTGCTGTTTCTTCTTTCAGAACAAGGCAGCAAGACAGTTTGTTTACACTGGCGCATTAGATTCTCGCAAAACTGATTTGATTCGTAGTTCTTTCTTTGCTTCAAATGAACAGAAGGAAAAATAAAGCCACATTAGATGGGTCATCATAGCCATAGGTAGTTAATGCTGTAGAAATGAGTATCTCTAATTTTAAATGTAGGCGTTGTAAATAATGAATTTAATAGGTCATATATTTGTTATGGTTGGTCAAAAACAACGAAAATTTATTCAGGAAGGTACATTTGGTTGACCCTAATGGAAAACAATATATTCCACCAAATAGCACGAGACTTGGTTGATTACAGATATGAACCTGGCCTTATGGACTCACTCACCATCTTGGGCACCTGGCTGTCCCATCTTTCTTTTGTTGTCATCTTTGTTGTGCAATGTGTCAACTGTAATTCGTGAATAAGAGAGTAAAAAACATTCTTTTCATGATGTTATATGAAGAGCAGGAGTGGTTTTTAAACTGCTGCAGCTTTATAAAGAAATGGTACTGGTATCTGCGATGCCTGCGTACAGGAGCTGGCAATGGTTCCTTTGGGGCAGGGATCTCAGCTCCACATGGTCTGCAACTTCCTGTCGCAGTGTAATCCCCTTAATCCTGCTTTAGCTCTGTTAATTTTTCTCCTTTCCTCTTTTTCTGATCCGCTTTCTCTGTGGTGTATGAATCCTGATGTTCTTCAGCCAAGCTAGCAACTGAGGGGCAACGGTGGTCTGCCGACCTTCCAGGCTGTCTCCGGAACGCCTTGTACCATGTGGCCGGGGCTCTGGGATGGTGGCGGTGCCTGAATGTGTTCCATTCTCTCTGTCTTACAGGCTGTGCAGCCTCCGCTTGAAGAAATTGACTGTGCTGAGGGAACTGGACAAGGAGCTCAGCTCTGTGCTCATTGCTGTGAAGATCCAGGTAAGCTCTAGATCTTCAGTCCTCAGATATCTTCAGGCAGCTGTAAGGCACATTTCAGACCAGAGATAGTTATCTGAATATTCCTGTTCTTCTGCAGATGCAACCTTTGCATTTTTGTTTTTTAACTTGACTTCTATAGCTCTAGCATTTGGCTCTTGCAGAATCCTGTGGGTGCCAGACTTTGCCCTCTTGGTATGGAGTTTCATACGGAAACTGGAAAAAGGACACCATCTTTTTTTCACTGTGTATGGCCTCTTGCCTTTTAGAAAATAAGGAGCCTTCTCTGATACTGATGATCAATCCATAGAATCCAGCAGGCTGCCTGGGATTGCTTTAGAATGACTAGATTATGCAGTAAGCCCCCCCCCCTCTGTGTGTAAAACATTGTTATCTTTTATGCAAAACAGTCCTTCATTTCTCAAAGCTTACATTTTTCTAAATAAACGTTGCTTAACAATACGTGTTGTTGATGTTTGAGTCCTTCATTTCTCAAAGCTTACATTTTTCTAAATAGTTAAACGTTGCTTAACAATACGTGTTGTTGCTGTTCGTCTAAATAAATCTGTAAATGATTTGCATAGAAAACAAGAGAACATAGTCTAAGTGGTCCATGGACAACATGGGATGTCCTCGCCCTGAAATTTGGGAGAGGGGCACTCTCCCAGTGCTTAGTTCACAAGCCATCCTTGATAGAGAGATAAATGGAAAGCTAGCTTTGAAAATTGCTTGCTCTTCTACGTGGCCTCTGTGAATCCACACAAAATTGCCTGTTTCGTTCTTCCAAAGAAATCACCAAGGAAAATGACATGCAGTGACATGCAGAGGCTGTTTCCCTGGACACTAAATCCAGAGAAAGTGGGACAGCCTTTGTATCCTCCAACCTGCTGTATTCTGGGAATTCAGTTAGTCACAAAGCCAAGGTCTGTGTTAGAGGTTTGTATTCCAAGTACTGGTGAATTGTGCTTTCTGGTAATTGTTTGTCTGTTGTTTTCCAGTCAACTTAGCTCAAGAGCGTAGCTTTATTTCTTTAGTATAAATCAAACAGCTAAATGCATTCAAACGATCATAAAGCCTGTCAACAGAATTATATAGATCTGTGCAAGCAAAAGCATTAAGAAACCCAGTCTTGTAATTTCATCTTGCTAAGAGCTCCTGAAATGGTGTCCTCCTTGATCCTGGATAAGCACAAAGCTCTCTGCTCTTGTCTCAGATATTAGGCTAAGAGACCACCTTGTAAGATAATGACGCTATCTCGTAAATTAGACCAGCTGCTGTTTTTAATGAAATATTTCCCTATTACGTAGAAGGCCTTGTGTTTTCAGCTCCAGAAATGCTATCAGGGACACTGGAGACTTCTGTGCTTTTTCATTTTCTTGGATACCTTCCATCTGGGTATTTTAAATGTGCTGTTCTTGTCCTTTGGGTCTCATAACCTTCTAGGAGTAAAGAAAAATAGGATGCACATTTCAAGAATGTATGAATACAGTCTGTACACTGCAGCAGCTACCTGCAGTGTCTCTTTAGAAGCTTTGTGAACATTTGCACACAATGAGGTTAGAAGAGAAGGAATTTTATAATGCATCTTTTCTACAGAAAACACATAATTGTAACTTTCGTAGACAGAGCAACTCAATGTCAGGGCTACTTGGCACATCATGTCTCTGAGGATTATACTAGCATACAAAATAAAAAAATGTGAATGTAAGAAGGAACAAATAATGTCTTTGTATAATATAAAGGCAAACCCCAGGGAGCCATTATTGTTTTCCGTATTGACTGTATGCGTGATAGAAGTTTGCTGCAAAGCTTGGAGGGGAAATTGCATTTCTGGACTACAGGTTCCAGTATCCCCCAGTCAGCATGAACTTACCCTTTACCTTGTGTGGTTGTTGTTTTTAGTGTTGTAATATTCAATATGTAACATGTCTTTTCTCTTTAATGGATAACCTTGGAAGGAACCTCATGTGTTCCCTGTAGTTAACCAGCCTTATAAATGTAGTTTGTTTCACCCTCACATTCACACCCTCCCTCGGACGGTGCGAAGCTACGTGCAAGGCAGAATCTTTTGAGTTTGCCTACTTATTGGCGTTACCTGGAATGCTGTTGCATATTTTGCTCAATTGTATATAGTATGTAATATGTTTTTAGATGTTATGTTTATTTACTAGGGAACCCCGTGTACCTTTTCCCTAAGAGGCTTAGATAAAGTATATATTTAAAGCAACTTATCTCGGTGTCTCGCAACCTCCTTTAATATATTTTTTCAACATTTAGAAGGCTGTGAAGAGATTGTTGAGTATTTTACTGCTATCAATGTTACAGTAGTTGTTACAATGTTCTGTTGTTTAAAATGTTTTTAAATTGCTTTATTCTGTTTTTGAGGAAGTTGGTAAGCTGCCCTATGCACTGTTCCTCAGTGGAAAGCTTGGATAAGAATCTCATAAGTGTTAAAACGGAGACATGGCAGTATAGAGTTTATTGAGGGGCTCCCTACCTCCCTGCCTCCTTCAATCATTCAGGCAGTGCTTCTGGAGAGGAAGGAGACATCTTCTGGTCTCTGATAAAGGCCAGGGAAATAAGTGGTAATAAAAGCAGCACATTGCTGTGGAGTAACAACCCCTCTAAAAATACCTTTAGGAAACTGCCGTTTAGCAAGTTAATCTGTTTGTATATCCAGATCACCACTGTCTACTTTGACTAGACGTCAGTCTCAAGGAGCTCATGGTCGCCTATCATATCACTGGTATTGCAGGGCCGGGAAGCTTCGGGTCCTCTACCTCAGTGGTCTCCAACCTTGGGTCTCCAGATGTTCTTGGACTTCAGCTCCCAGAAATCCTGGCCAGCAGAGGTGGTGGTGAAGGCTTCTGGGAGTTGTAGTTCAAGAACATCTGGAGGCCCAAGGTTGGGGACCACTGTTTTAGATGTTGAAGCCCCAGGTAGCATAGCCAGTGGTGTAAGGGAATATGGTAGCTGTAATACAGTAAAAGCCGGAGAGCCCAAGATGTGCACAGCTGGTTAAGTGGGAGAAGCCATAGAAACATCTGTATGCAACACATTGTGCTCTACTCCTGAGTTGTGGCTCTGCTCATTCTCATGCATTCCTTAGCAAAACCCTTACATCAGGGTTGGGGAGAGTGGCTCTCAAGCTGTTGCTGAACTATGTCTCCCATCGTCTCTCACCTTTGGCTATGCTTTCTAGGGCTGATGGGACTTGCAGTGCAGCAGCATCTGGATGGGCCTCTGGCCATGCCCCCCCTGCCAGTGGTCTTTTCCTGTCTGCATTTGTATGTGTGCATGCTTGCACGCGTGTGCATATGAGTGTGTGTGCAAAGGCAAGATGACCACTGGCTGTGATTCCTTTTGTGCCTCAGTTTTGTGGGTAATTTGCTCGCATTAGACTTTTTGCCCATTGGCCATGCAGCTTTCCCCTCTCCCTTCTTTGGGGCTGAGGTGAGAGACAGAGTGTGGTCCTGAAGGGGGGAAATAACCTCCTGGTGATCTTTGCCTCTCAGGTGGCCAGTCTGCAACCGGTATCCTTCACCTTTTTTTGTAGGCAGTGTGCTTTTATGATCCCCTGACCTTCACCTTTCTTCTTTAGTAGGCCAGGCGCATAAATTCCTTGCTGAAGATAAAAGGTCTCGCCCCTTCATTTTGCTGGCCATGCCCTTCCTGTGCTCTTCTTAGCTGTTAGTAAAGCTGTTGATGCTCCTGACAGCAGGCTGGGCGAAGAGCCGGAGAGCTTTGCATTCCGTCCAGCCGTTCTCTGCACTGCAGTCATTATGGTTTAAATCCGGGATTAGTAGTTGAAGGCTGGTGTTTTTAAAGTTGCTTCAGAGCCTCGTCATTGCTTGTATCTCAGGGTGGTCTCTGCAATAGAACTGTTGTGCAGAAGCCACTTGATATCTGTCAGACACAATCCTTAAATATATTGAAGTGTATATATTTCATGTGTGATGGGAAAAATGTGCTAGGCTGTCATTACTCTTATTAAGAGCAACTTCTGAAGGTAGAAAGGCTGTTCTATTTCTCTTAGCTTTGCAGGTGTGCTAACAAGGATTGAGATTCTGTTTCATGTGTGGAGTCTATATGGATAGAACAGCCTCTGCAAAGTGACGGGGGCAGGGCTGGCAAACTCTCGTCATAAAAGGTGAAGCATATGCACTATAACAGTGGTTCCCAACTTTGGATCCCCAGATGCTCTTGGACGACAGCTCCCAGAAATCCTGGCCAATACAGCTAGTGGTGCAGGCTTCTGGAAGTTTCAGTTCAGGAACATCTGGGGATCCAGGAACCACTGCACTATAAGAATGACTGCATATCTTGCATGGGTTTTGATGGCTTGTGATTCATCCCATAGGGCCAAATGTATGAGGAAGAATAGCCCACTCATTGTCATTGCAGTTTCTAGACATTTTCCACACGTGGATGCTGAATTTCTGAATATGAAGCCTCTGTTATTCATATATGCTTTTCCCCATGGCCAGGAACATTGGAAACTGAGTTGCAGGCTATCTTAAATCTGTGAGATAGAACTGTATGGCAAAAAAATTTTTTTGATTTGCTTTCTGGGAAAGAGATTGAGGTTGTCATAATGGGGTTCCCTCTTTTTCACATGTGAATTTACATGAATGAAGGCATTATAATCATACTTCAAATACTTGCCCTTTTTGCATTTGTGGTCTGTGGGTGTTGTCACTGTGGTCTCTGTAGCAAAATAATCTACAGACCACTTGTAATGTTTGAATACGTAAAACATAAATGCTGTGATCACAAACGTTATCATTTCTTTATTTCTTTTATGTCTTTACAACCTGTTTTTATAGTTAAACTCTCACAAAGTGGATTACAAGTTACTTAAAAGTACAAAATAAATAATAAAGGGATAGAAACAATGAATATTCCATGTATGAATAATTGAAATAACAAATAAGATGGCAGGAGCTCATACAATCTTAATTAGCAGCACAACACAGTTGCCATTTAATTTTAGTTTTGCCCTC